TAATGGCAAGTCATGATTCTGTACATGATAATGAAATTAAACAATGCCAAAAGCTTTGGGAAGATGTCAGCAACACAAATCAATCAAGAGAATGTATTAAAAACGCATGGAATATGATATGTAGATTTGGAAATATATGCAAACCGTATGAGTTGGATGGCACGAGTTCTTGAGGTTTTTGGCTTGTTTTTGCTTGCAAAAGGTTCCTGGCAATGTAAGGAGTGTGTTTGGATCAAAAAGGAAGCTTGAATTGGGCTGCAAGGTGGTTTTCAGTTTCACACTTTTCTCTTGAAAATTTGAAATTGCTTATGCTGTATGTGAGAGTTCTAGGTCGTGAATCCAGTATGGAAGGCTTGCATATAAGGCTATCAATCATAATCAACCAATATCATGAGCCTTAAAGCCTTGCAATTATGTTTTTGATTTTGCCATAAACTCCATTGAAGAAAACTTGCCTTTTATGTTCAATTTTGAATTCCATGCTCATAATAGGATGTACACGAATTTGGAAGGTGTTTCATGGTGTATCAAAGCTATTCAAGCCACAAAATATCCCCTAATTAATTTTTTTGATTTTCATTTGAATTTTAAAGATTTAAAATGAATTAAATCAAATAAAATTAAATAAAAATGGAAAAATTAATTTTTAATCTTGAAATAAATTGTGGGACACGTGGGAGGCATGGCCAAGCTGAACCAAGTGGAAAAGGTGGGCCCTTTTTGTCAAAAATGAAGTTTCAAGGATAGTTGACTTTGGCCATTTCACAAAAATTTCCCAACTTCTCCAATGCATATCTTGCTCAATTTTGATCATATGAACATGTTCTTGGACATTTTGGAAAGGTCTTAAAGTCCTATAACCAATGCCTTTGGTCCCATGTCATTTTGATTTACCAATCTCAAATTATGGTCTTTGACTTAAAGTACCTTTTTGTTGACTTTTGAAAATAACCTATAATGTTGAAATTGATAACTTTTTGTGAGAGCATTTCTTGGACTTGGAATGTGAAGATGAGTTGTAGGAAATGTCTTCCCCTTCAAGATGAGCATTGGATAGGATTTTTCTGATGAACCATGAAAAAGTTATGCCTTGGTCAAGTTACAGTTGACTTTTCAGCTGTCCAAAAATAGAAACTTTTGACACCTTGATGATTTTTGAGCCATGCTTGTGGAATCATGATCAAGACTTGATCAAATGATGATTGTGGCCTCAAAATAAGATGTTGACCAATATTTTTGACTTTTGACTGCCAAATGACCATTTTGCCCCTACAGTTGATTGTGAAGCAATTAGGGTTTTTGACTGTGCAACTTGACCTTGTGAGCCTTGAAACTTGGCATGTAGGTGCTTGACAATGTATATGAGCATGTGTGACTTGATTGAGCCCTTGAAAACCTCAACTTCCTTGCAAGAACCAAAACCCTAGTTTGACTGGCTTAGGAGGGTGCTTGACTGTGTAGCCCTTGAGTAGACTTGAGCAATTTGAGGTGATGCTTGTCAAAACTTTGAAGAATATGGGAGGGCAAATTTTGGGGTACAACAGAGTCGCGGACCCGGTCGACCATATAGACGGGTTCGAGGCTATGCTGCATTACCACAATTTCGGGGGGCCCATCAAATGCCGACTATTCCCCATGACTCTCAGGAAGGCGGCAATGAACTGGTACAAATGACTCACCCCGGGCTCAATAACCTCGTGGCGAAACCTGAAGAACCAGTTCATCAGTTCATTCACAGCTTCTCGGCGACATCCAAAGACCGAGGCGGCTCTCGAGGCCATCATCCAAAGACAGGATGAAACCTTGAGGGAGTTCATCAATCGCTTCAACCGGGAAGCCATACAGGTCCCCTGCGTGGACCATATGAAGAGATATCTGCTGGAGAGGGGGCTCCTCCTCGGCACGGAATTCAGAAAAGCCGTGGGCATCGAGCCACCCAGGACATTCGACGCCCTCCTCGAAAAAGCTCGGGCATACATGGACTACGAGGAGAGGGAAGCGGCCAACAGAGCCCGAGATCCCAGGACTCGCGGGTCCAACAGCAGCTCGCGCCATGAAGCTCCTCCTCCTCGACGAACCAGGGAGAAAAGAAAAAGAGGACAAACCCCGGGAAGTCCGAGAACAAAGAGGACCCTCGGGGCATTTCACCGAGTACACTCCGCTCACAGCTTCCCGCGAGCGCATTCTGGCGGAGTGTGCCAGCACTGATTTCAAGGACGGCGGTGTCAAACGTCCCCGACCTGCTCCCGCCAAGCCCGGAGCAGACAAAAACAAATATTGTCAGTACCATAGGAGCCATGGTCATATGACTGAGGATTGCGTCCACCTCAAGGACGCCATCGAAACCCTCATCAAGGGAGGGAGGCTCGCGCAGTACCAGCGAAGCGACGCTCCCCGTCGTGACGCCCATGAGACAAGGGAGCCGGAGGAAGATGCCCGACTATCTGACGAGTCGGTCCCCATCCAGACCGCCTTCTCCGTGACCAGGCCCGAGGACATCGACATCCCCGAGCACCTGCAGATGCCGCTCACAACGCACAGTAGGTGGGAATATTTCCCCTCCGCCATGGTCATCAACGGTGGCGGGTTCAACGACTTGACCATTAATTCGGCTAAGAGGAAGCTGGACGAGCTGGTCGACGCGGTGCCCCCGCAAACAGTGACGTTCGAAAGGGTGAAGGGCAGGTCGGAGCCCACCACCTTCTACCTAGAAGAGCTCCCCGGCGAAGCCCCAAACGCGGTTATCCCCTTACTGATAAGGGCAAGAATGGCCAATTTTGATGTGCATCGCATCCTCGTCGACGAAGGGAGTTCTGTCGACGTGATGTACAGCCAACTGTTCCGAACTCTACAACTGGACGACTCACATCTCTCGCCATACATAGGGTCGGACTTACAAGGTTTCAACGGCTCGACCTCCAAACCTTGGGGGTATGTCGAGCTCCTGGTTACATTCGGTGAAGGAACGGCTCCAAGACAAGTCAAAGTACGCTTCCTCGTCATCGACTGCCCGTCTATGTACAACTGCATCCTGGGAAGACCAACACTGGCAGAACTGACAGCGGTGCCCTCGATCGTCCACCTGAAGATGAAATTCTACACCAAGAGGGCACGGGTAGCTACTATCCAAGGAGACCTAGCCGCTGCCCGGAGGTGTTTCAACGCTGCTTCTAAAGGACGCGATACTGTCGACATAGGGACAAGGCCCGCCAAAAGGACGCGACAGGAGCCTGACAAGCAAGAGTCCCCCAAGGAAGAAGTCCAGAGAGCTCCACCAAAGGTCGACTCTATAGCTCTGGACACTCGTTTCGACCAAGACGAACCTCTCAACGGAGAGCAAATCCCACTCCGACCAATACCGGACGGGGATTTTGAGCTCGTCCCCCTCGGCACAGACCCGACCAAAGGCATGAAGATTGGCAAAGATCTCCCCGACTTGGCAAGAAAGCAAATCAAGGCCTGCTTGCGCGAGAATGCCGACCTGTTCGCCTGGAGCGCCGCGGAGATGCCCAGACTCGACCCTGAGGTCGCCTGTCACCACCTCGCCATAGATCCTACCGCTAGGGCCGTAGTGCAACGTAGACGTAGGCAGTCTCCAGAAAAAACGGAGGCTGCTGAAAAAGCTGTAAAAGACCTCCTAGAGGAAAATTTTATTTCTGAAGCCCGGTATTCCACCTGGCTGTCAAACGTTGTACTCGTTAAAAAGAATAATGGAAAATGGAGGATGTGTGTTGACTATACCGATCTCAACCGGGCTTTCCCGGAAGATGCTTTCCCTTTGCCTAACATAGACATGCTGGTCGACAACTCGGCTGGCTACAAAACATTGTCGTTCATGGATGCCTACTCGGGCTATAACCAAATTCCGATGGCCGTGAGCGACAAACACTGCACGGCTTTCATGACCAGCTCGGGCAACTATTACTACAACGTAATGCCCTTCGGACTGAAAAACGCCGGGGCAACTTACCAGCACATGATGAACAAAGTTTTCCACAAACAGATTGGCGACATGCTCGAGGTGTATATGAACGACATGATCGTCAAATCCCGAGCAGACACCGACCATGCAGCACACCTCAAGACGGTCTTTGCCCAAGCAAGACAATGTAAAATGAGATTCAACCCCGAGAAATGTACGTTCGGAGTCAAGGTAGGAAAATTCCTTGGATTCTACCTAACAAAACGAGGAATTGAAGCCAACCCCGACAAATGCCGGGCATTCTCTGACCTCCCGACACCAACGTCGAAGAAGTCAATACAAATCATGAACGGCATGCTCACATCATTGTCCCGCTTCGTCGCGAGGTCCGCTCAGCACGCCCTCGTCAAATCCCAGTCAACGAGGAGAAACATCCGACCCCCATAGAGAGGCTGAGGTACAGACCCGACCTACGTCCAAACCGCATAACATCGTTCAACAGACAAGAACAAACGATAGCGCCCGACATGGACACCTCGATCGAGCTCCACCGTCGAAGTACCTGTAGGGCAGAACACCCAGCTCGTGATGGATAGTTCACGCCGCGGGCAAATAACCCCGACCGGGTCATATACCCGACCAAGCGGCTTCGCTCTGCACGCCAGACGAATCTCGAAGAACGTCGGGCCATCTAAAAGGGTCAAAAAGGAGTCTCTCCCCTCGAATTCACCACTCAGGCGACCCTGGCCATCGAGAAGAGGCCGAGCACATACACGAACAAAAGACTTAGGCAAATTTGCCAACAAAGTCACAGCCATATACGGGCACGACTCGGGCCCATAACTTAGGCCAATTTTTGCGCAAAAACGTAAAACACAAGCACGGGCAAACAATCAAAAAATTGAAACAAACATTCATTCAAAATGCCCGTAGGTAACAAAGCAAATAGATGTAAACCGACCAAAAAGGCCGGAAATGTTCAGGAAATACAAAGAACGGGCACGCAGGACCAAAAAATACGAACGGGCACGCAGGCCCAAAACAAACATCAACGAGGCGCGCAGGCCCCATCATTATCTCACAACTCAGCTTCCCCGGAGCTACCATCACCAACAACAGGAGAGTCGGGCGGAGGCACGACCTGACCATCAATGATCTGAGACATATGGCTCACCCCTTCAGTGTTCAGGCCGGGATTCAACAGGGAAAGCTGGCTGACCGCGGCTTCAAAGTCGTCCACCATAGCTCCGACACAGTCCCCCTCGAGAAGTTGGATACGAGCGACCAGTTCCGATCGACTCCTCAAAGGAGCTGTATCCTCCGACTCGTCCTCGGCAGGAAGCATAGCGGCATTTAGGTCCTCGATCTCTCTGGCGAGGCGCCCGTTGTCAATTTCCAGACGTTCCCGGTCCGCACGAAAAAGGTCTCTCTCCTTGGCCAGCTTCCCTGAGTTCTCTTTCTCCAGAGCCAGCAACTCTGTCTCCGTCGCCAGCAGCTCGGCTTGCTCGCGGAACATCTCCTCGGAGCGTTCCAGAGCAGCCTTTAACTTTCGCGAACTCGAGGTGAGGGCAACTTTCTCCTGTTCCAACTCTTTGATACGGTCAGAGTCCTCCCCCTCCTCGGCCAGCACAACGGCCATCTCGGCCATCTTTACCAGCCTGACCATATTGGCGGCCAGGTGCCTTCTCCGATTTTCCTTGCTCATCCGCCTGATAGTTTCGGCTTCATCAGCACTCACGGACAAGGGAAACCCCTCGAAGAAACCCTCCTCTTTAAAGCAAGGGGGCAACCCGGAGGACCTCACGGCGCTGGAGTCCTCACCAACCTCCGGTTGGCTTTCCACCCGATTCCTCTTCCTCTGTATCAGGTCGGTGTGTGGCTCGACCTCCTGGACAGTCGGGATCCCTCCCGAAGCAGCTCCCGAGCTAGGTGGTGAGTCCACCCTCGTCTCCTGAGAAGTGCCCGGACTATGTGGCGGGCCCATCCTCGTCTCCTGAGGAGCTCTCACCACCCTCTTATTTACCTTCCTGTCACAGGACAACTTCAAGAGCCTCTCCCTTCGTCCGGCCATCAGACCTGCATGAAAGAACCCCAGGTTAGTGACGAGCAAATAAGCGAACAAATAACAAGTAAAGAAATTCAAACAAGACAAAACAATAACGACCTAGCAAATTCGCAGCCTGCCCAAAGGACTGGCACTCCACAAGTGCCTTCGTGTCAATCGGTCGGGCCTCGAAGGTCGGATAACCTTCCTCGTCAAGAATATCCTCCCCCTCCCTCGTGGCCCATCTGGAGGGGAAGAAACTGTCGACATACCGACAGAGAGTACCATAAGCCTTCTCATCTTCAGAGCTCATCTCGCCCGCGGACGTATGGTAGTACCCGGTGCCATGCTCGTAGTGCCTCGAGGTCCAATGCAAGGGAAATTTGGCCACGCGCCCCAACACCCGATGTCCCTCGTCGTCTAAAAGGGCTTTCCTGTGGTCGTCGGTTACGACTGTTTCCTCCTCATACACAGACTCTAAACCTGTTGTGGTAACCGGCCTCACAATATACCACTTGTCCTTGAAACCCCGCACGGAATCCTTGTACATCTTGAAAAGTCTCTTCGACTGTTTCAGGGAAACCCAGCTATGCTTACCTCCCCGGGATTGGCGCTGTAGGTGGAAGACTCTGAAGAAGAGGGGTATGGTCGCCCCAATCCTTAGAAACCGACAAGTTAGCTCGAACGCCTGGATGAAAGCGAGCGAATTTGGGTGAAGCTGCGACGGGGCCAGCCCCAGATGGCTGAAGACCCCGACCTGAAAATCGCTGAAGGGCAGTTGTAACCCAAGGTCCTTGAAGGCAATTTCATATATGGGGAATCCATACTCGGGGAACTCCGAGCAGATTCGTGCGGTGAAAGTTGGTCGAGTGACGACGAAGTTCTTCTGGAAACCGGGCTGGCTACTGCCCGTCACGAGGATGGTGTATGCCCTTCGACTACGTCGACTATAGGCCGAAGCTATCCCTCTGGGCTCGGCACCCACCCATTCCAGCAGAGGGTCCTCTATGGTGTCAACCAAATTCACATTTTCATCGGCACTTTGTTCTTCCACCTCGGTGCGCCCTGAAGAACACGGTTCGTCCGCCATGGTTACCTACAAAGCACGGGAAACCAATCAATTGGGAGCGGAACCACACGCTCGCCATAACGGACGAGATGAAGGGCACGACAAACCACGTCGCTCCACGCGTGACCACAAAGTTGGTGTTTCGGAACAAAAAAAGAGCAGTCACCTCCCCGACTCCCAGTCACCACGACAAGCTACAAATCGCCTGAATAGGCCAACACCTCGACCACTCACGAATGTGTCGACCCAGGATACGAACATGGCGAGAAACGTCATGGGTCTCAAAACTAGAGCCATGAGTTTACCGGGCACTACCAAGAATTAGGCGCCCTGAGTCATGAAGTCCCCGGGCAGCACTGCGAGTCAAATACCTAAACTATGCGTTTACCGGGCGCATACACGCGTTCGCCAGGCATAAACATGGATTTGTCGAGCTAAATATAAATCTACCGGGCTAATCCCAGGCGTACAGTCTCTAAAATGTCTGAAAACAATGAAAATCATGCATCACAGAGGAAAAACGAAGGAGACAAGACACTTACTTGGAATCAGGAAGGTAATGTGACGACGGAGAAAGGAAATCAGCAACGAAGATCACGGCGGTCCTATGAGTATCTGGGAAGAACAGAACCAGTAGAAACATAGTGAAGAGGAGAAGCGCGAACAGGGAAAACACGTTCTGGGGCCCAAACACCCTATTTATAGTGATGTCGTGGAATACCAAACGTCACCCCGGGGAACCACAGAACTTCCCTCCTCGACGTGTAGCTCCCCTAGGCAATGATGACCCTATCGTCAGTAGGGTGGCGGCACGGTTCCCAAGAGATGCCTCATGTGCCCAACGAACGCAGCCCGTCGAGACTCCTCGAGCGCTCCTCGCGCGGTATCATCTCGTATGCCCGACACAGGGAAAACTCCTCGAGCAAGCCACAGGAACGACATATTCTAGCCGGGAACGGGACCCCGTGACGCAGGCGACCTAAGATCAAGTCATGGCTCCTACTACAGGAACCACGACTTGGGGGGCTCCTGTTCTGGACTGGGCCGGGCTGGCCCAAAAGTAATGGTGAAGGCCCAATCCAAACGGTCTTGCAAGGGGTCACGCCGACCAAAAGGCCATATCCTTGCCCGGAATTCTCTGCTAGTGCGACGTCCTCGACTCCATGCTATCCTGCTCGACCTAAGCTCGAGCACTCCTCCTAGGGCAGACTCTATCCATTACGCCATCACCTGGATCCCGAAAAGACCGCGTCCTCGTCCGTCTGTACTTCACGCAGGACATCCAGGAAGGGGACCACGTGAGGGCCCCCACTACGCACGTAGAACCTGGCAGTTCCTCCATTGAGCCAAACCTGCCCGGCCCAATGAAGGAACCTTGGCCCAACGCTGGGGGCTATAAATACCCTCTGTTCCCAGAGGGTCAGGTATTCATTCTTTTACCCATACTCATACTCTTGCCTGCTCGTGCTCTTACTTACTTCAGCATCGGAGTGCCTTGCAGGTACCCTCCCCTCCCCACCTCGTTCAAAACTTCAGCTCGGAGCCAGTCGTGACGGTCCAAGTTTGATTAGGTTAGATCAGTGGCGCCGTCTGTGGGAAACTAGCTTCCCCGTCTTGCAAAACTCAAAGACCAAAGCTCAAATTCAACTACCGCTGTCATGGCTGATCAAGCTCGCGATGAATAGAACGTCCGCGTCGTCGACACCAACAACGGCCCCGTGGACAAAAACGGATACCTTGACAACGCCGGCAACCCCGGCCACAACACCATTCCTGCGACAACTGTCCCCGGACCTTCAACCTACTGCGACAGAGCTACTGCGTCATCTTCCTCGGTCCCTCCGCCACTCGAAGAAGACCACGCAGCCCTCCCGAACTACTGGGCTGCCCGGTTCCAGGAAGTCCCCGTCCCCGCCGGGGCGGATGCCACAACTCAGGCGCTGTTCGCAACGATCAATCAAACGAACTATCTCATCTTCGCCCAAGGGGAAAGACTAAGGGCGCTTGAAGACGACCGAAGACCCTCGAGGAGGCACCGGAGGCCCCATACTCCACCTCCTTGAGTGACTGAAGTCCAACTCCCGTCTCCCCTGCGGAGACATTACAGAGAAACCTCCCGAAGCCAGTCACCCCGACCAAAGGGGAAACGGCCCCATTTGGAGAGGCGGCCCGTCATCCAAGCCGGAGAACCTAGTCGCGACCCAGCGAGATAGGAAAGAAGGCACTCCGAAGACGGACGGGTAAGATTCAACCAACGAGCATCATGCTCGAGAGAAACTCAACACGACCAGGACCGTCGTGCCAGACAGTACTACAGGTCCCCATCTCTGTCTCCGGAGAGGAGCGAAGAGGACGACCCCCGCGGTCCCCTGTCGCAAGCTATCATGGAAGCACCCATCCCCCCGGGCATGGAGAAACCCCCGCACTTGAAGGAGTACGATGGAGTCGCGGACCCGATCGACCATATAGACGGGTTCGAGGCTATACTGCATTACCACAATGTCGGGGGGCCCATTAAATGCCGACTATTCCCCACGACTCTCAGGAAGGCGGCAATGGACTGGTACAAAGGACTCGCCCCAGGCTCAATCACCTCGTGGCGAAACCTGAAGAACTAGTTCATCAGTTCATTCACAGCTTCTCGGCGACATCCAAAGACCGAGGCGGCTCTCGAGACCATCATCCAAAGACAGGATGAAACCTTGAGGGAGTTCATCAATCACTTCAACTGGGAAGCCATACAGGTCCCCTGCGCGGACCATATGAAGATAGATCTGCTGGAGAGAGGGCTCCTCCCCAGCACGGAATTTAGAAAAGCCGTGGGCATCGAGCCACCCAGGACATTCAACGCCCTCCTCGAAAAAGCTCGGGCATACATGGACTACGAGGAGAGGGAAGCGGCCAATAGAGCCCGAGATCCCAGGACTCGCGAGTCTAACAGCAGCTCGCGCCATGAAGCTCCTCGTCCTCGACGAACCGGGGAGAAAAGAAAAGAGGACAAACCCCGGGAAGTCCGAGAACAAAGAGGACCCTCGGGGCGTTTCACCGAGTACACTCCGCTCACAGCTTCCCGCGAGCGCATTCTGGCGGAGTGTGCCAGCACTGATTTCAAGGACGGTGGTGTCAAACGTCCCCGACCTGCTCCCGCAAAGCCCGGAGCAGACAAAAACAAATATTGTCAGTACCATAGGAGCCATGGTCATGTGACTGAGGATTGCGTCCACCTCAAGGACGCCATCGAAACCCTCATCAAGGGAGGGAGGCTCGCGCAGTACCGACGCTCCCCGTCGTGATGCCCAGGAGACAATGGAGCCGGAGGAAGATGCCCGACCATCTGACGAGTCGATCCCCATCTAGACCGCCTTCTCCGTGACCAGGCCCGAGGACTTCGATATCCCCGAGCACCTGCAGGAGCCGCTCACAACACACAGCAGGTGGGAATATTTCCCCTCCGCCATGGTCATCAACGGCGGCGGGTTCAACGACTTGACCATTAATTCAGCTAAGAGGAAGCTGGACGAGCTGGTCGATGCGGCCCCCGCAAACAGTAACGTTTGAAAGGGTGAAGGGAAGGTCGGAGCCCATCACCTTCTACCTAGAAGAGCTCCCTGGCGGAGCCCCAAACGCGGTCATCCCCTTACTGATAAGGGCAAGAATGGCCAATTTTGATGTGCATCGCATCCTCGTCGAGGAATGGAGTTCCATCGACGTGATGTACAGCCAACTGTTCCGAACTCTACAACTGGACGACTCACATCTCTCGCCATACGTAGGGTCGGACTTACAAGGTTTCAACGACTCAACCTCCAAACCTTGGGGGTATGTCGAGCTCCTGGTTACATTTGGCGAAGGAACGGCTACAAGACAAGTCAAAGTACGCTTCCTCGTCATTAATTGCCCGTCTCTGTACAACTGCATCCTGGGAAGACCAACACTGGCAGAACTGACAGCGGTGCCCTCGACCGTCCACCTGAAGATGAAATTCTACACCAAGAGGGCACGGGTAGCTACTATCCAAGGAGACCTAGCCGCTGCCCGGAGGTGTTTCAATGCCGCTTCTAAAGGACACGATACTATCCACATAGGGACAAGGCCCGCCAAAAGGACGCGACAGGAGCCCGACAAGCAAGAGTCCCCCAAGCAAGAAGTCCAGAGAGCTCCAATAAAGGTCGACTCTACAGCTCTGGACACTCGTTTCGACCAAGACGAACCTCTCAACGGTGAGCAAATCCCACTCCGACCAATACCGGACGGGGATTTTGAGCTCGTCCCCCTCGACACAGACCCGACCAAAGGCGTGAAGATTGGCAAAGATCTCCCCGACTTGGCAAGAAAGCAAATCAAGGCCTACTTGCGCGAGAATGCCGACCTGTTCACCTGGAGCGCCGCGGAGATGCCCGGACTCGACCCTGAGGTCGCCTGTCACCACCTCGCCATAGATCCTACCGCTAGAGCCGTAGTGCAACGTAGACGTAGGCAGTCTCCAGAAAAAACGGAGGCTGCTGAAAAAGATGTAAAAGACCTCCTAGAGGCAAATTTTATTTCTGAAGCCCGGTATTCCACCTGGCTGTCAAACGTTGTACTCGTTAAAAAGAATAATGGAAAATGGAGGATGTGTGTTGACTATACCGATCTCAACCGGGCTTGCCTGAAAGATGCTTTCCCTTTGCCTAACATAGACATGCTGGTCGACAACTCGGCCGGCTACAAAACATTGTCGTTCATGGATGCCTACTCGGGCTATAACCAAATTCCGATGGCCGTGAGCGACAAACACTGCACGGCTTTCATGACCAGCTCGGGCAACTATTACTACAACGTAATACCCTTCGGACTGAAAAACGCCGGGGCAACTTACCAGCACATGATGAACAAAGTTTTCCACAAACAGATTGGCGACATGCTCGAGGTGTATATGGACGACATGATCGTCAAATCCCAAGCAGACACCGACCACGCAACACACCTCAAGGCGGTCTTTGCCCAAGCAAGACAATGTAAAATGAGATTCAACCCCGAGAAATGTACGTTCGGAGTCAAGGCAGGAAAATTCCTCGTATTCTACCTAACAGAACGAGGAATTGAAGCCAACCTCGACAAATGTCGGGAGTTCTCCGACCTCCCGACACCAACGTCGAAGAAGTCAATGCAAATCATGAACGACATGCTCACATCATTGTCCCGCTTCATCGCGAGGTCCACTCAGCACGCCCTCCCCTTCTTCAAACTCCTTCGTAAGGAAGCAGCCTTCGAATGGAACGAGGAGTGCGAACAGGCGCTGCGCCACCTAAAGCAAAGTCTATCTCAGCCACCCGTACTATCTCGACCAGCCGATGGGGAGCCACTGTTTTTATACTTGGCCGTCTCGAACGAAGCCATCAGCGCGGCTCTCGTCCGCGAGACCACCGACGGACAGAAACCCGTCTACTTCACGAGCAAAGCCTTGCAAGGACCCGAAAGCAGATACCGACAGATAGAAAAGGTGGCTCTAGCCCTCGTCAACGCGGTGAGAAGGCTCAGACACTATTTTCTGGCCCACACAATCATCGTGCGAACCGACCAACCGGTGAGGCAACTCCTGGGTCGGCCCGATATGGCGGGCAGAATGTTAAAATGGTCCTTGGAACTCTCTAAATTCGACAT